GTGGAAAAAAACAAACTAAAAATAGTAATTACATACACAATACATTAAAAATACACAGGAAAAAAGAAATCCAACAATTTATTCAAATTACACAATACTAAACTACCTCTTTTGTTGCAGGTGTTTGATTTTCTGCATTGGAAAGACCATCATTTGTAGCAGTATGAAATAATGAAGAAAGGTACTTCCACCTTTACAAATACCTTTTGCAGCAGATTTTGCACTGACATTTGGTAATTATTCTACATGCAAATGTACTAGTGGTCACTTTCCTTAGAAAATGAAGAGCTGAAAGCAAGTAAGCATGTAGCTGGTGTAATGTGGTATTCAAGAGGGAAACAGCAAATGGGAATCAAGTGTCTGCAAGACAGCAGTATTTGTCAAAACATAAGTGAGTGGAGATATTTGAGACCCCCAGTCAAACGATGTAGCAGTAGCAGAAAAGGAGAAACACGTAAGTGCAACTTATTCTTTGTAACTGGGTAAAAATAATACAATATTTAAAAGAGGTGAAGTACAAATATATGAAGACACCGAGGCTGTGTCAGGCATCAGAAGTTCTGGAGGAACATTTTTTCCAGCATAATAGAAACAACAGGCCAAATATATACAAATAAATGCATATATATGTACACATGCACATCCATATGAAATACCTATACTGTAGGAAGCAGTGTAACAAAGATAACTATTCTATTTTCCAAATACTAAAAGTCAACCATCCACACACATTGAGAACATCCATGTAAGAGAAGATACTCTAGAGAGTACTAAGGAGCATCACAAATTTAAGAGGAGGAAAGAAGAGGAAAATTGAATTATATTTCCATTTTTTGAGAAAAGAAAATAGCACATTATAACAGGGGTAATGAAGTTCTCACAAATGAGCAAATATTGTAATTGAATATGTAAGTAACACCGTTTTATAAAACAGCCCAGGAATTTTAAAAATGTAGAGTATATACATGACCATCATCTCTGTTTAACAGAGTTCATCTTAAAGACTTGAAGTAGCTGAAAACTTGTCAGAATGCACTCTGCTAATGCTAAACCACAAAGGCATTGGCCTTCAACCTTTTGGAGCTTAAATCACAGAATCATAGCTTGTGGGTGTGGCCACCATGAGTGCCTGCCATAGGTAAAGCTATTGGAGCTGCACATATACACACCCAATTTTATGAACACAGTTTTATCAAGAGATTTCTAGCACTATTTCTTCATTTAAATTTTGCATTTCCTGTGTACAAGGCCTTTTCCCAGTGCTCAGCTTTTGCTTCCCGTATTCATAGGTCTCTATCAGTTTGTAGTGGATCTCACAGGAACAAGAGTCACGAAATATGAGGTGAGTGTGGTGAACTCCTTACCTCTCTAATGTCTCTCTGATATTTATTGTTCATTTCCTCTGTTTTAATGAGCTCCTTTCTGGCAGTCTCTGCTTCCTGCTCTACCTCTCCCACCCGGGAAGACAGTGCAGCCAAACGCTCCTTCATTTGTGCCATTTCATAGTTTTGTTTTTCCAGTAGTTCCTGAAGTTCAACAACTTGACTGGCTTCATCATTGGAGTCTATGGAGCCATTTGATAGGCGCTGTTAACAGAGAAGCGGCATTATTTATTAGTCATTTTTTAACATGACTCTACCTAAAGAATGTCTAAATCAAAGTATTTTAAAAATTACAAAAGCAACTAAGAAGAACAAATAGCAGGACATACTGGCACTGTCTCATTTTAATAGATAGTCATAAAACCTTTTCCAGCACAGGCTAAGCCATGGTTTCATAGAAATCTCATTATTTCATGCCAAAAAAATAGGCAAAAAGAACAAGCAAAACCAAAATTCTTTGATTTTGACCTATAACACGAAAAAATAAAACAGAAATAGCTTAACTTGTCATTACATCTCTTGATCAGGTGCAATTTTACCAGTTAAATTTGTAATATGCAGAACAGGAAAAAGTATTTCAATGTAAAGGTCATTTTAAACAGGTTATGGATCTCAAAGAGCATGATACAGGAATATTGGTCCTAAAATGGGCTTGTTGTCTTTCATATGGCAGGGTGTATAGCAACGTATATATGAAATATTCCTAGCAATATCTGAGAAGAAACCAAGGTTGTTTCTATTAGCACTTCTGTATTATGATTGTCAAAATACATTTATAAGGAAATCTAGCAAATTCAAAGAACATTACTTTGCTTAATGGCTTTAACAACATTCTTTCCCCAATCAGCAGTAAGATGAATGCAGATGAAGCTCAGCTGCCCCCCTGCAGATCATTGAATAAAATTATTTTACCCTAAAAATTTATTACCTCAAATAACTCAGTTCCAAAATTGCTTTCTTTATACTAGTTAATTACATTACCTTGACATTTTATGTTAGCTACAGAACCATCATTGATCTACTTACAGGGCACCACAGTAAAATGACAATAGCAACTAAAAAAAACTTATTTACCCTCAGTTTTTTGTTTGGAAAGCATTCAGTTAATCTACTGAAATCAAAATACCATTAATATGCAGCAACAACATATGTTAAAAGAATAGTACTCGAGTAGGATACAACATTATAACCATGATACTTTATTCCATTGTATAATTTTGAGATAAATTTTCAGCTATGATAATCTGTTCCACAGTTTTAGTCTCATAGAGCAATATTAACAGCCTTTACCTTGTATTGAATTTGCCCTACAACCCTTTAAATGGTGGCCTAGGAATTGGTGCAAGGTTATAGTAAGTGAAATAGCAAATCTCAAAAGCAATAAATGACCTGTGTACATGTACCTTATCTGATATAAACTATAGTAATTTTAAAACGGCAAACTGCAATATCTAGGCATATATTCACTGGCACAGAAAAATTTTCTTTTAATCAATAAATCTTTTTTCCTTAAGATATTAATAATCAAAACACCTAAAAATTAAATGTAAAATATATATATTTTTTCTAATTTAGTATCTGAGATTTCTGGATAAACAAATAAAAGCATATTTAGAATTAATCTCTCACCACTATGCTGTAGTGCCAATTATTCACGTGTATATTTTGATTCGTGCATATAAACTTGCATCATAATTCTTTGGTGAACTCTTTGTACAAGCTGCTTTAATTCTATTCATTGTTCCCCAATATATGCAAGAATCAGTGTCCAATTAGTATGAGGCAGGAGAAGAAGGTACAGAAAGTAAGGAGAGCAGGAACCTGAAAGAAAACTTTCTAACCAGTTGAAACATTCTCGCACAGAAAACAAAAATTGTACACAGTCCCCAGACAAATTTCATGATGCTGTCTATCAAATGTGGTCTTGAAAAGGCAACATATGGACACATTCCTTTTTTGATAACTTTGCATAAAAGACTCTGCTAGTGGCTATTTTTCCTTGAAAAAATAAATGTGATAAATAGTTTATATGCTCCAGTGCTTCACTTTTTTTTTTGATTCCTAACTAGTTGATCCAATAAAGGAGAGTCCATCTGTTTCTAATACATTTACTTATTTGCACCACAATGCTGCAGAAATGGTATCGTCACATATTCGCAACTTCCTCTTTTTTTTTGCTTTCTACAGACACAACAAGTACACGCAGCTGCTGCACACACCGGAGGGGTCTCTGCCCCCTTCCGTGGGCTTCTCAGCCAGATGAGAAATCCAGTTGGCATCAGTCTGAAAGGCCAAATACAGCCTCAGGTGTCTGCCTGGGCTAGTCCAGAGCAAACAGAGGTAAATGAGCAGTTATGTTTGCACCCAGCAATGCTACACTTGCTTTCCTCAGCACTGGGAAGAACTGAAACAGCAAGAGGAAGGCTGCTGTGGGGGTTTTTTTTGGTGGCATATCAGCAGCTGAATAAGTGAGAAATCACAGTTCGTACTAAGGGGTTCTTCATAAAGAAGATTTTTACACTCCCCCAAATATAGCAAATCGAGCTAGAAAGAGAAGCAGAAAGGAGATGAAATAATTGTCAAGTATATGTGGTGACAGGGATGGTATTAACTGCAACGCAGGAGGCATATCACAGCGGAAACCAAAGTTCAGAAAATGTCCTGTAGGACCAAATGCCATAAAGGGTAACACAGATTAAACCAGAATTGTTGGGGAGGAAAAATAAATAAATCTTTGAATCCTTATGGTCTGTGGAAATAGAAGAGGGAAATAAATGTTCATGTTCCCTACCATTGAACAGTATGAAAAGGAAATCAGCATCCCTGGTATCAGATTTTCTCTTTTTTCAAGATCCCAAAAGCACAGCAGTAAAGCAATCTGCTGCTTGTATAGGAGTGTCAGCAGGGAGAAGGACAGAAAACTGGAACATTACACGTAACAATAAATCGCCCCTAGGTTGTCGCTTTTCTCCCCTCTTCTCTCTGCCATGAAGTAATAATAGGACAACCAGCCACAGACTGGTTTAATAGTAAAAAAAAAAAAAAAAAAGACAAAAAACAACAGTAAAAGGAACACCAGAAGAAAAGTGGAAAATAAGACTAACCCAGAATATTGTAATTTATGTTAATCCATTTCATATTGCCCTTTCAATTAAGCCATAGCAATAATATTGAAGGCAAACGGAATGGAAGTACACTTAAATTAAAAATAAATAAATAAAGACACCAAACTACAGCAGTTAGCAAAGAAACTGTAAAATTGACCCAGTCTATTGATTGTAAAGTATTTATCAATTTTATTTTGTAGGAAGAACCTTACAGTCAAATATATATGCGGCAAAATAAACACAGGAACCTAATTTTACAAAGGTAAACCCCAAGAAGAGCAAAAAGTCTTATATCTACTCTTTACTGTGACATTCTAAATTCTTTTTTAAAGGACTACTGACAAGTTTATTGCCCCATAAATGTCTACAGTCAAAATTCCAGTTTCCACCATGTTCTCAATTTAGTACAATGTCATTGTGCCTTGGGGGAGTTCACGCTGAGCCAATTTCTCCCAGACTCTCCCCTCCTAATGTTCAAAGCAACTACCTGTAATGCCAGCTCCCTTTGGTAAATGGCATAACCCAGAAGACATCGGACACTATGTTGCACTAGGCTTATGTCAGAATTGTGTTACTTTAAACACATGGAAACTTCTTATAAACACACTTTTGATTATATACATTTTTCTTTATGTGTAAGATAAAATCAAATATTAAAAGGGCTCTTCAAAGGTCTGCATATAGCAAGTTCTATTTGCTACCTATTTCAAGGTTTATTTCCACATGTAAATCTTGTAAATATGCACAAGCAAAGAATACTAGTTGATGTAAGTTCTCTCTGAACCTCTTAACATGGCAACTCAGGGCATTTTCTTTTTTTTCTTTTTATTTTTGCCGGTGGGGAGTTGAATATAAAAGCAATGATCTAAAGCGTACATAAAAAAGCAGAAGATACAACATAAGGTTCAGCAAGGAACTATTTTCAGAAAAAAACCCACAATATTTGGAAAAAGCTATAAAAATAAGACAGAATTGTTTCTAAATATCAGAATGCCATTGCTGCAGCAGCTCTTGGAGACCAGAACATGGTGTTACCTGCCTTCAGATATGACATACCCTCCTATCTGCCATAAGGCTGTGACCTTAACACTCACAGCAATTGGACTTCAAGATATCCCTCTTTCAGTCCCTGTTATTCTAGCATGGCATCTCAACCTAGAGACATCTCTGACTCACTTCACTTTGTGAGACTTCTGCCTTCAGAGACAGAAATACTATTTCTCAGGACAAATAAACTTGTCTCAATTCTGTAATATAGAAATATTAAAAAGGAAGTAAAATAACCACCAAAGGAAACTAAATTATACATTAAACTTGACTTCATGAAAGTAAGAGTAAAATTTAATGCTGCAAAGAGTAACAATGACTGGTGCAGTCTGAGATATGAGAATAATTGAATAAGATGCTTTTTACAATAGTGGTTGAGTTCCTCCACCTCTATTCCATTCAAACACCTCATGCAAAAGGTTTAAAAGAAAGTAAACAATATTAATAGAGATACATAGCTATGAGATAGTCCAACCACAAGTAAAAACTAAACAGGTAAAAGCTGTGCGATCATAATCCATATAATTGACACATAAAACAGAATGTGAGAAGCCATGTCAAAAATAATAGCATTACATCTAAGCTGTCAGTTATTTCTAAGCTGTTGGTCACCTCTATGTCTGAAGGCTATGCTAATTCTTCAGGTTGTTCCACATCTTTTAGCCTGTGTCAAGCTCTAATCTCATAATCATTAGAGGTCTCCTCTTCAGTTACTCTGAATTTTCTCCAACCTCTATAATTAACTACCAAAACTAATGTTCTCTCTGAAATACTGCTTCCCCACTTCAAGACTCATGTAAGAATAGTTACCTTCTCCAGTACTTTTCTCTCTAAACATCCTCACTTTCTTTTTCTACCAAGCCATCAAAAGACTGCAGCTTTTATCACTACTTTAAAGCTTTAGAATAACTCCTCTCCCTGATCAGCTTTCTGCTCTTATTCTTTCTGATGCCTGTAATCATCTGTCATACTTCACTCACTTTGCAAGATGGGGTAGAGGGAAAAAAAAATAAAAATTTTTTCTTGACAGGTGGGCATTTTTGTTCTTGT